GGTCGCTCGCCAGAAACCAAGACGAAATCATGCGCACACACGAGTGCGCCTCAAATCATAGACCAAAGGATAAGGAGGCCCCCGGTTAGATCGAAACTGAATAGATGGCCCCTGCCGTTCGACGGCAGGCTAGCTCAGGGAGAGAGACCGAATCCCCTCAGCGGCCCGACACATATATGAATATAGGAAGAAAAAGTTTGTTCTTGAATTTGAAATGCAACATTCAACTATTTAGTACAGTATAAGTATAACTGACAGCAATAAATGATTCCATGGAAGAAAATGCTAATACTTCAATTTTGTATAGCTCCTGCAACATTTTGCACTTTGCTAAACAGTATATGATTGCTACATCGTCCAATGAAGTTTTAGTTCCCTGAAGCTGTAGAACTTCTACCAATACTCACTACACAAATGTTTGGCTCAGACTAATTCCAACAAAACTGATATTGAACAACACAATGTCTTAGGAGAATAACTAACCTTTTGGTGCCTTCTTTGAACACTACAGTCTCGACTTTGCAGTGATGCCACGTTGCCATGCTTGTCACAGAGCAACTGATCCTCTAGATGTCATCTCTACAAAGAAAGAACAGAAAGGCAAGATTTTAGATAAATGAACTATATCAGTACAGAAGAAGCACTCGCTGAATACTGAACATGAGTAACACAAAGATACAATAGAAAATAATGACTGTTAACAGTGTATCACGTATCACCTGAGATGCCACCTTCATAACAATTATAGGCAATCCAGGGACTTCTCCTTGCACTTGCTTAAACAAGGCTCTGACCTCATCATCTTTGTGTACCTATAAAATCATTTAGATGAAATAAAAATCATCTTGGGTTAATATACAATATTTGGAGAAAGTTGGAGTTCATTTTGTATGGACAGTGGACATTTCCATGTAACTGTTTGGAAGTAGAGCATTCCATATAACTGTGGTAGAATTGAATTAGAAAGATTAAAAGAATATCAACCTTCTTTATTCCTTTACCACCCACACCCCATGATAAATTCTTGCCCATAAACAAACATGTCATAGTTCTGTTGTTAGTCTCAACTACGTACAGATTATTATACAAGATTTCCACAACCCTGAACATTAGTACAAGAGCCCGAAATACAAATAAAGGACCTACATATCCCTACAATTAAAACAAAATTACAAACCTGCACCTATCAGCCACATATCTTACTTATCCATACACAATCTACAACTTATCCACTCTGTGAGCATGCACATCTCCACGTTCTCACAGTACCGAGCAACCGCAATTCAATCACAGCACAACAATTAAGATATGTCATCCGGATCACTTGGTTCCCCTTTTACACACAGAAGAATTCAACAGAGCAAGGAACCCCAACCTTACTGAATTTTAGAGTTCAAGCTGAAGTAGTACAGTACAAATCTGATTGATTGCAACCCTCAAACACACATCTATGCATCTGGCGTCCGATCCACTAACTAATCCTACTCCATCCAGCCTAACTAACGCATGTACAGTGGTCAGATCGAAGGAGACAAATCACCATGTTTAGAACATGGCAGGAGCTTACCTCATGCTGGAAGAACTTGGTGGAACGGAATGCCAAAGCCTTGCTTCGTCTGCATCCTCTTGTTCCTGCGCTCATGGGGGGGGAAGAAAGGATTTTAGGACTGGGAGGAAGGAGCGGGGGAGCTGCGCGGGAGAGTGGACCTGGAGGACCGGGAGGAGGCGCGGGGGAGCGGCGTGGCGTCGTGGAGCGGAGCGACGACGCGTGACCCAGAGCAGTGTGGTCGCCTTGGCCGCCGCGAGCGCGAGCAGGCAGAGGAGGTAGCCCGCCAGGAGCTCCGCAGTAGCCACCCCGGGCCGAGACCCTAACCCTGACCTCTCTTGCGAGGGCCGGCGGTGAGCTGCGCTCCTCCTGATGAGGAGAGACGAGGGCGAGTGGAGGCGGAGGCGGCGGCGGCGCGAGGGCGAGCTGAGGCGGAGGCAGCGCAAGGGCGAGCGGTGGCGGCGTGCGAGGCAGAGGGGATCGAGAGAGGGAGAGGAGGAGGTGGGACGAGCGACGGCTAGGTCACACCCATGTGGTGATTGGATATTTTTTCAACCATGGGAAATGGCGAAAATGCCCTCGGTGGCCATCCAGTTTTACAAGCGGTGGCAAACTTTCATTGCTACAGGGGCGGGATTGGATCGGACGGACAAGATCTTCCAGCGGCTCGATCAGACGGCCGGAATCGCATCAAGGGAACCGATCGGACGGCCAGGAAGCCCAAATCGCTGAGAATACTCAGGTTTCGAGCGATCTCGTTTTTCTGGATATTCAACAACAAGTTGACCACATGCAAAATGTATCAAAATGTAACCGATTGTAACCACAAATGTTTCTGAAATGATCTAGAAACATGAACACTTAGTTAACATGTGTTTTTCAATTTCAACATTTAATTCTAAATTTTAATTGCATAAGAAAGTATCTGAATTTTAACATGTAGATGTCCATATTGTTAACCATATCTGAATGTACCTGAATTTGAACTACTTCAAAAAATTATATCTGAATTTAAGCCAATTAATTACTGAATGTACATGAATGTATCTAAATTTGGAGAACTTGACATATGTATCAATCAATTCCTAATGCAGAAGACAATGTAGTACTAAATTACACATACCAGTGCCTGCATTAATAACAACTACATCAAAGAGAGCATGCTTTAATTACAAACTCCCCCCAAATCACTACAAACTCTAGTCAATTCACTACAACCCTAGCTCTCGTCAACATATTGAATCGTATCTACAACCCCCACATCAGTACAAACCCTAGTCAATGCCACCCAAACCCGAGCGAAAACCCTATCGAAACCCCCTGCCAAAACCCTAGTACTAACCCCTTTCTCCTTAAGATTTCGACTTCTAATCCATTGATTGCGACTATGGACTATCGGCTATGGGCGAAAACACATGAATAAAAGCTGATTATGGTGGAGGCTCACATGTTCATACCGTATTGCGGTGGCGGTTTGTGTTCCGGGCGACGAATAGGGGCCATCACGAGAGCAGACATGCGACGCTGCCTTGAACCTCCCTTCTGGCCACGGCATGACCTCCCGCAGCCTCGCTCCCGACGAGAGAAGAAGTCACTGATCACCTCCTCTGATCAGTGAACCAGGCGAGGGCTATTGTGGTCCAAAGCAGTTTAGGCGCACTACATTTCGGAATCTAGCCCAAAAAACTATACGCATTAGAATATGAAAATGGAGGGAGTACTAAATTACACATACCAGTGCCTGCATTAATAACAACTACATCAACAATAGCCTGCTTTAATTACAAACTCCCGCCAAATCAGTACAAACCCTAAATCTCGTCAACATACTGAATCGTATCTACAACCCCCCCCCCCCCAAAAAATTTAGTACAAACCCTAGTCAATGCCACCCAAACTCGAGCGAAAACCCTACCAAAATCCCCAAAAAATCCCCTGCCAAAACCCTAGCACTAACCCCTTTCTCCATAAGATTTCGACTTTCAAATCCATTGATTGCGACTATGGACTATCGGCTATGGGGGGAAACACATGAACAAAAGCTGATTATGGCGGAGGCTTATGGGTTCATACCGTATTGCGGCGGCGGTTCGTGTTCCGAGCGACGAACATGGGCCATCGCGAGAGCAGACGCGCGACGCTGCCTTGAACCTCCCTTCTGGCGACGGCACGACCTCCCGCAGCCTCGCTCCCGACAAGAGAAGAAGCCAGCGATCACCTCCGCATCTGATCATCTTCACGGGAAAACCAATCGTCTCCCCACCTCGACCGCAATGAAGAAGGAAATAAAGCAGGGGTGAGCTTTATGCAAATCACTTCACGTGGGACAAATACGACATATGTGGTGACCAACGCTGTTCACTGATGTGACATCAAGCACTGTAATCTAATCTGGGTATTCCAGTGTACAGCAAGCAAAGTGAACTTCACGATTAAATACAGTGGATGTGGGTGAATTTAACTCTCTCCAAATCCGTTGACCCGAAGCTCGTTCCAGCAGTCTCGAAGCGATAAAAAGGAAAGCAGCAATATCTAAAAAGAAAAGAAGCAATATCTAGGACTGACGGGTGGGAGCCCACCTGTTTAATTTTTTGAGGGAAAGGAGCTCACCTTCAGACCTGGCCAAACGGGCCGGCCCAGCACGGCACGACACGGCCCGTGCTAATCGTGCCTGGCCCGGCACAGCCCGCCATGGCACGTTTAATAGCCGGGCCGTGCTGTGCCGGCCCACGGGCGCTGCTCCTTGGCCCAGGCACGGCCTGATTAGTAAACGGGCCGGCCCGATGGCCCGTTTAGCACGCTAGGCTGCACATTTTCAGCCTGCTGGGCTGGTTTTTAGGCCTATTGGGCTGTATTTTAGGTATATATATATATATATAAATCTAAAAAATATATAAAAAAATTAAACGGGCCGTGCCGTGCCGGCCCGCGTGCCCAGGCTCCAGGCCCAGGCACGGCCCGTTTAGCCTGTGCCGTGCCTGGCCCATGGCGGGCCGTGCCGGCGTGCTCACGGGCCGGCCTGTTTAGCCCGGCCCGTTTGGCCAGCTATACTCACCTTTGGTTGGGTGGGTCGAAGGCGAACCAGATCAACCCTCTC